AAAAAAAAAAAAAAAAAAAAAAGAAGACGGGAATTGTGAGAGTTGTGCGAGGAAGACCGGACGACCGTTATCTCATGGCCTTTGCATCCAGGCTTTGAGCCAAATTCCCAAGGACTGGATCCTAACACTTGGCTGCAACTATTTCTTTGACCAGTAGGGGGCAAGCAAAAGCCATAGAGAATCCGGCCCAGAGCTGATTGGAATCCCTCTGAGAAAAAGACCTCTTATTGTTTAAGCCAGCGGTCCCCAATCTCTTTGGCACCAGGGACCGGCTCCGTGGAAGACAGTTTTTCCACGGATTAGGGAAGGGAATGGTTTTGGGATGATTCCAGCGCATCCCGTTTATTGTGCATTTTATTTCTATTATTATTACATTGTAATATATAATGAAATAATTCTACAACTTGCCATGGTGTAGAATCAGTGGGAGCCCTGAGCTTGTTTTCCTGCGACTAGACAGTCCCATCTGGGGTTGATGGGAGACAGTGACAGATCATCAGGCGTTAGATTCTCACAAGGAGCGTGCAACCTACATCCCTCGCATGCACAGTTCCCAATAGGGTTTGTGCTCCCATGAGAATCTAATGCAGATGCTGATCTGACAGGAGGTGAGCTCAGGCGGTAATGGGAGCAATGGTGGGGTGGCTGTAAATACAGATGAAGCTTCGACCCTGCAGCTCACCTTCTGCTGTGTGGTTCAGCTCCTAACAGGCCATGAACGGGTACCAGGGGTTGGGGACCCCTGCCTCAGACTATCTTGTCTCTGCCTGGCAGACTCTCCTGGGGATAGTTCCCAGGTAGGCTGGAAGAATGATGCACACTAAATCAGGCAAAATACATCAATCAGGTATAGCCAGGTATACATATGTTAAGGTCCTCTTCCATCTCTCTGAGCTTTGCTTTTTCAACCTTCTTTCCCAGTAGAATTCACTGTCCCAGCCAAGGGGTTGTTCTTGGTCATCAGAGATATTTAGTGTTTTCTATTGCCTTTGCTTATGCATTTATTGATTCATCCAGAAATTATGTATTAATTACTTGTTGTATTAATATGTGTATTTATTTATTTATTTTTTATTTTTTGAGATAGGATCTTGCTCTGTTGCTCAGGCTGGAGTACAATGGTACAATCATAGCTCACAGCAGCCTTGACCTCTCATGCTCAAGTGATCTTCCTGCCTCAGCCTCCCAAGTAGCTGGGTCTACAAGTGTGTGCCACCATGCCTGGATAATTTTTTATTTTTTTAAATGTAGAGCCGAGATCTTGCTACGTCGCCCAGACTGATCTGGAACTCCTGGCTCAAGCAGTCCTCCCACTTTGGCATCCCAAAGAGCTGAGATTACAGGCACGAGCCACCGTGCCTGGACTTATTGTATATTTGATTCTCTGGTAGACACTGGAGACTCAAAAGAACGTGGTATGTAAAATCCCATTCTGTATGGAAATCTTTTGACCTCGACTTGGCAAGCTCTCTTAGGCCTCCACATGTCTCTGAAATCCAAATTGCTCCAGGAAGTTTTCCCTGGGTATCTCAGCAGCCCTGTGTCCCTCTCCTCCTGCCCCACACCTGACCAGGACTTGAATCCTGCAGCTTCTCGCTCTTCCTTCATCATCATCCATGTTTCTTGTTATAGATGAGGTCACATCTCCTATTCCAATTTTCCTTAGCCCTAGTCTGATCATGTGGATTTTGGTTTCTTCATTGATCTGAAATGTTTAACTTTCATCTTTTATTTGCTCCAAGTGTCCTCATATTTTCACATACCACATGCTGTATTTTTCCCTCTTGATTATTTGCATTTTCTTTTTTTGAGACAGAGTCTTGCACTGTCGCCCAGGCTGGAGTGCAGTGGCGAGATCTCAGCTCACTGCAACCTCCACCGCCTGAATTCACGTGATTCTCCTGCCTCAGCCTCCCGAGTAGCTGGGATTACAGGCACACACCACCACACCCAGCTAATTTTTTGTATTTTCAGTAAAGACGGGGTTTCACTATGCCGGCCAGGCTGGTCTCGATCTCCTGACCTCGTGATCCGCCCTCCTGGGCCTTCCAAAGTGCTGGGATTACAGGCGTCAGCCACCGCGCCAGGCAACTATTTGCATTTTCTTTCCTGAACTTGGCTACTGTTCAGATAGGATGTTTTAGCCCCAGAAGGGGAAAAGGTGGATTTTATGTAGACTTAAAAAAAAAAAAAAAGTAATTTCTCGGCTTTGATTTTCAAATTGGAGTCGAAGTGTTAAAACAAAAAATTGTAGCCTTCAAAATTAGGCTTTCGTGAAAGATAAGATGATTAACTCAGAATCATCTTAAGGCCGGGAAGGCTGGGAATGACTCCTCTGTGGAACCCAACTTGGAAGATGGGGTCGGAATAATCTGGAGTGGGAGGCTGAGTATAGAATATAAAGAAAGTTCTTGTAACTAGATGCAGTGGCTCACGCCTGTAATGCCAGCACTTTGGGAGGCTGAGGCAGGCAGATCACTTGAGGTGAGGAGTCCAAGACCGGCCTGGCCAACATGGTGAAACCCTGTCTCTACTGAAAATATAAAAATTTGCCTGGTGTAGTGGCTGATGCCTGTAAACCCAGCAACTTGGGAGGCTGGGGTGGGAGAATCGCTGGGACCTGGGAGGTGGAGTTTGCAGCAAGCTGAGATCGCGACACTGCAATCCAGCCTGGGCAACAGAGCAAGACTCCTTCTCAAAAAAAAAAAAAAAAAAAAAAAAAAAAAAAAAAAAGAGAGAGAGAGAGAGAGGGGAAAAAAAAAAAGAAAGTTCTTGTCCCACAGGAAGGAAAAGCACAGACATAGGCAGGTGAGGCTTCATGAGAAGGTCGAGGTGAGAGCTCTGCTGTGTGTTTGGGGGTGATAACTGTGTGTGGCGGTTGGTGATTCATTTGAGGACACTCACTCTCAGGGACTCAGAGGGAGTCTGAGAACCTCAGGGCCAATTCCTGCTTCATTGAGCTGTACCCTAGAGAACTGAGGGCTTTCAAATAAGCTTTGGCTGGTGGGCCAAGGCCAACATGGTGTGGACATGTGGAGCAGCTGGAGTGGAGGGCCGGGTCTCCCAGAGAGCCAAGGAGTGTGGGGAAACTGGGGCACAGAAGAGGCTTGGGTTTGTGTGAAAGAGCTTGCAGGGTTCTAGCACCTCACAGCCAGAGTGGCCATGGCCATGCCTGTGGATGTCAGCAGGGGACACCTGAACAATCCCTAAGGGACAGCGGGTCCGGGCCATGCTTGGAATTGCCCAAGTCAGAGTGTCAGGAACCGTGACCTCCAGGGGAAACCAAGAGTTTCAGATGAATCCAGTGCTTGGGAGCGGGACCAGTGAGAAAATCAAGTCACATTTCTACAAGATTTTACAGTTAATACTGTTCTCTGTCATGCTAGACAAAGAGAGATGATTATTTACTAGCTTCTATAGATTAGACAATGGCAGGCGGTGGTTCGAGGCGAGATGATTCTTGAGTCCGAGTCAGCTCAGGGCCGGCATCCCAGTCTTTGGTCTCCAAATCCACCTCCTGTCTGTCTCCCCACACTCTTCCTTGGGCCTTGAGGATCCATTGATGGTGATTTCTGTGGTTCAGCTCCCATGTCAGGCAGGAAGGGCAGCTACTAGGGCTGAGATCCCACATTGCCTCCTGCCCTTGCTTCCTACCTGGCCTCCCCGGACCCCACCAGGGGCTGGGCCAGGCTGCTGTGCTGCACACGGCAGGAGTAGGGGGCTGTGTCCTGCGGGGGCCGCACACACCAACAACCAGGTCAGGTAAGTACCATTTCCACCGTGAAGAACATCTCCCCGTAACTCAGGCTCCTGCACCTTGCCGGCCTGAGTCCAGTGCACATCAATTTTCCCTGGGTAGAAGTTGTAGGCCAGGCACGTGAGTGTCCTGTTTTCTCCTGGGGCCTGGTGGCTGGTGTCCATCACAGAGGGAGGATCTGTGGAGGGAGAGAGCGTGACACTGCAGGCTTGAGGTCAACTTCTCCTGGCCCAGGTCTCTTCCCACCCTCACCCCTGGCTGTCAGCGATCGATCGGCAGAGCTCTAAGCTCTGTTCCTGCCACTGCCTTCCCCTCCTCCCCTGCCCCCCGCCCGGATCACTTTCCAGAAGATCAAGGAAGGCTGACGCTTTCCCTCATCCTTCTCTGTTGGATCATGGAATGTCCTGGCTCCCCTCTGGCCCATTCCCCACCCCACTCATATATTGACTCTGACGGCAATAAGTTGTGAATGCTCTGTGCACTTTCCAGTGTTTTCCCACATCTCAGTGGGCTTTGGAGTTCTCCTCTCCCCAAGTCTTAGTCCAGCTGCTTAGGTCAGCCCATGCCTCTATCCAGCAACCACTTCCCTGCAGCACTGCACAATCCTGAGTCTCACTACGTCTCCAATCCAAGTCTCAGCTTGCAGCCATCAATCCCGCTCACACTGGCTCGCTCTTGTCCTTCTGGGGCTGACATTTTACACACCTCGCTTCTCTCCACCACCCAGATGGGAGGCATCATTGTAGACAGAAACAACGATGGGATTTGGAATCTGAAATCTGGAATCTGAGTCCCAACTCTGCCTCTTCTTCTTTTTTTTTTTTTTTTTGAGACCGAGTCTTGCTCTATTGCCCAGGCTAGAGTGCAATGGCATGATCTTGGCTCAGTGCAATCTCAGTCTCCTGGGTTCAAGCGTTTCTCATGCCTCAGCCTCCTGAATAGCTGGGATTACAGGTGCCTGCCACCATGCCAGGCTAATTTCTGTATTTTTGGTAGAGATGAGGTTTCATCATGTTGGCCAGGCTGGTCTCGAACTCCTGACCTCAAGTGATACGCCCGCCTTGGACTCCCAAAGTGTTGGGATTACTGTGTGTAAGAGGCAGAGCTGAGCTAGCACAGTGTTACCCTCACCTCTCTCACTTCCAGCTCCTCTTCTCTCAGTGGGTGATATTTTGGGAAGCCTACCAGTGAATTGGTGGCTTTCCTGGCCTGTTCTGCCTGAAATTTTGATGTCCTCCCAGGAAAGAAATGAATCCTAGAAGTTGAAAATTGGGGGTCTGCGTGACTTACATGGATGGAGGAGATTGGCCTAAGATGTTCTCTGAGCTCCCAGCCTGAGATCATGTTGGTTTTTCCCAGCTCAGTACTGGGGAGCAGGAAGCAGTGAGTACGTTGCCGGTCCAGGATATTTTTGCTGTATTTCAGGCACTTCTGCAGAGTGTCAGGGCACTCCTCCTTCAGGTTAGCCTTTGCCTGCTGCACGTAGACTGGTTCTGCCTCCCACTTCTGCTTGCTGTTCTGGGCTTCTGGGACCAAGGGGACCCAGGCTGGGATTTCTTTGTTGAATTCAACGTAGTCCTTTCCATCACAGGCATTCTTCCAGAACACTCCAGTGCTTCTGTTATTCTGGATCTCACCACCAAATCTTTCCTGCAAGGCATGAGACCCTGAAATGCCCCCCGACCCCACAGGGAGCCAGTCAGCCTAGTGCCAACTCCATCTGAATAACTCTTAGTCCTGCACTCTTCACACCTCAATAGGAGGAAAGGCTTTTGCAATCTAAGCATGCAGTTCCGTAATCACGGCATATGATTTTATCTGGATGTACAGTTGGCAGAGAGTGGCAAAGACTATATGGATTGGCATTTCAGGCCAATTGAGACGAAATATACGTTCCTCCCAGCCAGGGAAGTTGAGAGAGCTACAGGCTGTGGGTAGATTTCTATCTCTTCTGTAGCATCTCTTTTTATATGTTTGAACTTACAGGGAGTGCTTAGGAACCTGTCACAACCACACCAAAGTACGTTTCTGAATTTGATATAAATTATTTGTGATTTCATATGAGGAAAGGAAGGCTCTCCTTTTCTTTCAGTTTTAGGTGGAGTTTATATCGTCACCTAAATCAACCTAATCTGATCTTTTTTTTTTTTTTTTTGAGACAAGTCTTATTCTGTTGCCCAGGCTGGAGTGCACTGGTATGATCTCGGCTCACTGCAACCTCCGTCTCCCTTGTTCAAGCAATTCTCCTGCCTCAGCCTGCCGAGTAGTTGGAATTCCAGGCATGCAACACCACGCCAAGCTGATTTTTGTATATTTAGTATAGACGGGGTTTCGCCGTGTTGGCCAGGCTGGTCTCGAACTCCTGACCTCAGGTGATCTGACTGCCTCGGTGCCCCAAAGTGCTGGGATTACAGGCATGAGCCACTGCGTCTGGCCTGATCGCTTCTTTCTTCCTTTTTGGTGTTTGATATCTTTATCTCAAATCTCTAAAGTCCCAACCTTCTTGCCCATTAGCAACAACTCCCAGAAATGGACCTCATAGGGTGAGGGACACATCCTCTTCATTCTGATTATAAAAGCAGGTGTTTACCCAGCACTGGTTGGTGCTGTTGGCACAGACACTGACAGCTCTGAAGCTGTCTGGGCTCATGTCCCAGGTCTCTCCTTGCCCCTACCTGGCATGTTGCATGAGCTGGAGCCAGCCACCTCCCTGGGCCTCTATTTCCTCACCTCCGAAACAGCAATGCCAAGAGCACGGTTTCAGGGGGCTATTCTGGAGCATTAAATATGCTCATATATGGACCTGGCACAAAGTAAGTGCTCAGTAAATGTCAGTTACTCTTATTTCCTAATACCCTGTGTTCATCTCTTCATCCTCCTTCCTCGTAATTATCCACTTTGACATTTCTATTCCTGTCCATCAAAGCTTCTCCCAGTGTCTTTCCTGATCACCTGTGCCCCCTCCTCTCCTATGGCTGTCACACAGCCCGGGCCATTTTCCTTACCAAGACCTCCCATCCCTCATCCTTCAAATGTCTGATTATCTCTTGCCTCCTTTTGGAAACCTTCAGATCCCATGTAGCACCTTGGGCAATTTTATACTTAGAAGCCCATCTTTTGACACCCACTCTATGATAATTTAACACCAGCAGTTCACCAGGCCTGGCTGGCTGCCTTGGGGCTGGCAGTGTGGTTTAGCAGAAAGAGTGCTGGGCCAGGGGCACAGGGACTGTCTCTGTGGGGGCTCTGCTACCAGCTCCTCCAACCACAGTGCAGGTGGCCCTTCCTGGGTCTGCATCTTATGGACAGGAGGAACTTTAGGAACAGCCTGCGGTTTTGAATCCAGCACTTCCTGAGCCCCCAGCATGGGCTACGGTGTGTGCCACGTGCTTTTCTCTGTTCTTTCCACAAATTTCAATTGAGCCAATACTGGTTGGACCCTGTCCAAGGCGATGGAGCTGCAAGGGAGATTAGGACAGACTGTGACATCCTTCATAGAATAGACATAGTTAAATATTACAAACTTGTTTGGAGGTAGGTCTCAATGCTCCAGTGTTTGCAAATTTCGACCAGATATTTTGGGAATGTTTCACTGTCAACAGCTAGGACTGGCGGAGCCACCAGGTGAGCCCAGGTCTGAGTGACTTTGAGAGCAGCTCACTCTCCAGGCAACCTCTCTGAACAGGGGTGAGTCTGATGCCTTCTCACTGGGAGATCAGCCTCTGACGGGTGGGGTGTGGAGGTGAGAGGTCAGAGCTGCCTGGATAGGAAGTGACTCTGCCATCACTTCCTGTGTGAGCTGAGGCCTGGGATGAGGATGGGGCAATCGATGGGGAAGTGGGGAGCACCTGTGCTGTGGTGTGGGCGGGATGTGGACATGTCTGCATTTCTGCTGTGCCTCCTGTTCCTCTGCTGGGATTGGGACTATTTCCATCCTGCTGACCCCTTGTGACTCACACTTGAGGGGCTGCATCTTGGGTTAGACCTTCCACTCCCGCGGTCTGTTGTTCACTGACCACTACTGTTGTTGTAATACTCCATGATGTTATTCAGGGTCTCCATAAAGATGTCCTCCCTGGCCTTCTGAAGTTGGTTCTGCTTCTCCCAGTCCTCTACTCCTTCCACGTGTCTCCATGATCCCAGGGCTCAGCCTTCCCATCTTCACTGTTGTAGTGGAAGAATGCACGGTCATTGAGGAAGACAGTGCCCTGCAGCCTGTGGGTGCCTTTGCTAGGCCTGGACAGCCCAGTGTAGAGATAGGTCAGAGAGTAATGACCTGCAAAAGAAAAGACTCTGAGGGCTGGGGTCCATGCAAGGGTGTCCCACTGTGGGGCTGCAGAGGGCCAGGAGGGGAGGCCTGGCCACTGGTCTCTTCCTCCCCACTCTCTCCTCTGCTCTCAGCTTCACACCATCAAAGCTTCATTCAAGGAAACAGGCTCTGCTTTCATGCTGGGGATGATATTTCAGAGACCATTCTGTGTCTTCACTACAGAGTTTAATCTGCTTGGCACAGAAGAAGATAATGTTTTTCAACCTCCTTATAGATAGATTGGAACCATGTGACTGAGTTTTGTCAAACAAGAATGTGAGTGGAAGTGACTGATGTCTTTCTTCTGGTCCAAGACCCTACCACCTGGCTTGCCTCTACTGTCTCTTATCCCTTTCGTTGATGACTATGGAGGCCACAGGATGGAACAGAAGAGTCCCAAGATGCAGACAGCCTGGATCCTTGAGTCACCCTGTGGAGGAGAGGAACCTTGCCCAATCTGCATTGAACTTGACATGAGAAATAAACATTTCTAGTCTAACCGGACAAATACATATAGTTAGAAAGTGTAGGAAGGCGAATTTACTAAACAATTCAAGAAGCAACCCAGAATGGATCAGCATAGGGTAAGGCTAGGATACCTCTCAGAATTCCTGGCATTGTACCTTGCAGTTTGGTACAAGATGGAAGCTGAGAGAGTGGGACATTTCCACAATTAGTTCCATAGTTAATTTAGAATATAATTTACATGAGTGTTAGTAATGTTGGAGGTCATATGGCAGATTTCTAATTTAAGTACTGAAGTCATTCTTGCTCATGAGTTTCTGAATGTGATTAGCCTTTAAATCAGACCTTGAGTAAAACAGATTACCCTCTACAATGTGGGTGGGTCTCATTCAATCAGTGGAAGATGTCAAGAGAAAAGGCTGAGGTACCCCAGAGAAGAAAGAATTCTGCCTCCAGAGACTACCCTTGGACTCAGGACAGCAACACCAACTCTTTCCTGGGTCTCCAGCCTGCTGGCTTGCTTTGCTGATTTAGGACTTTTAGCCCTCAGAATTGTGTGAGCCACAAGAAATATTAAATAAAACTCCTCCCTTTCTTTGTTTTGTATATACATACACGTATATATGTATACATATATACTATATACATATATTTAGTGTATATATTTATATATGTATAAAATGTATAAAAATTATCTATGTATAAATATATACATATATTTAGTGTATATATGAATATACAATGTATATATGAATACATATATGAATAAAAATTTAGCCAGGCATGGTGACATCTGCCTGTAGTTGCAGTTACGCAGGAGGCTGAGGCAGGAGGATCACTGGAACCCAGCTGTGATGGTGCCACTGTATTGCAGCATGGGTGACAGAATGAGACTCGGTCTTTTTTTTTTTTTTTTGAGAGGGAGTCTTGCTCTGTTGCCCAATGTATATGAATATACGTTGTATATTCATATATACATATGTGCATGTTTATACAATATATATTAGTTTTGTTTCTCTGGAGAATCCTGAATAATTCAGATTTGAGTGCAGAATGGGATTAATATTATAAATGTGATTATTATAAAACTAACATGAAACAACTATTCTGACAATTTGTAAATGAGACAGCAGGACAGCCACCATTCTTGTCATCGTGTCTGCTTGGAGGGTTCTGGGCAAGAGGCACAGGTATTATCCTGGGTCCTGGGGCCCTGCCCAGGGGAGGTGAATCTACAGGCCAATGGGAGTGCCAGGACGGGCTCCTCCCCTAATAGAGAAAAAACAAAAACAAACAAAAAAAAACATGATACATAAGGTAGGCTGGGCAGAGGTTGTGATGAATGAGTCTACACACATGTTATACAAATTCAGAGCTGAGACAGTTGATCCCTGGACTGAGGCTTTGTGTGTGCCTGGGGCGGAAGGATGCCAGTGGGTGGGAGGTGTGTGTGATGGGTGGAAGGTGTCTGGGATGTGTCACCTTTCCAGTCTATTATGACACCCTCTGGGGTCACTTGGGTGTGTCAAACCAGACTTCATCCCTGCCTTCTGGAAAAAGCCTCGACATGTCCAGGACGTGGACCTGGGTAGTCCCCAGCTGGTATGTATGCCTGATGTGGTGGTAGGGTATTCATAGTCAAACAGAAGATAGGAGGATTTATGAATATTCAAGAAGGAGACCCACATGCATGCAAATTAGGTTCACATGTATGAAGCATACAAGTAAACATGCAACCTGTGACTGTTAATCCTCAGTGTCAGCCAGGCATGGTGGCTCATGCTTGTAATCCCAGCACTTTGGGAGGTGGAGGGGGCCAGATCACCTGAGGTCAGGAGTTCGAGACCAGCCTGGCCAAAATGGCAAAACCCCGTCTCTACTAAAAAACTACAAAAATTAGCCAGGCATGGTGGTGGGGGCCTGTAATCCCAACTACTCAGGAGGCTGAGGCAGGAGAATTGCTTGAACGTGGGAAGCAGAGGTTACAGTCCATTGTTCTGTCTCAAACAAAACTGTCAACTTGATTGGATTGAAGGATGCAAAGTATTGTTCCTGGGTGTGTCTGTGAGAGTGATGCCAAAGGAGATTAACATTTGAGTCAGTGGACTGGGAAAGGCAGACCCACCCTCAATGTGGGTGGGCACCATCTAATCAGCTGCCAGTGTGGCCAAAATACAAAGCAGGCAGAAGAATTTGAAAAGACTAGACTGACCTAGCCTCCCAGCCTACATCCTTGTCCCATGCTGGATGCTTCCTGCCCCCGAACATCAGACTCAAGTTCTTCAGCTTTAAGACACAGACTGGCTTCCTTGCTCCTCAACTTGCTGATGGCCTATTGTGGGACCTTGTGATCGTATGAGTTAATACTCCTTAATAAACTCCTCTTTACATATACAGCTATCCTATTAGTTCTGTCCTTCTAGAGAATCCTGACTAATACATAACCTATGTTCACTTTAGGGTGGAGAATGAACATGTAAATCCATTTTAATTAGGTCCTATATGTAAAAAGGTAAAATGTAGGGCAAAAGTCCTCTTTCTTTCTTTTTTCTTCCTCCCTCCCTTCCCTTCCCTTCCCCTCCCCTCCCCTCCCCTCCTCTCCTCTCCTTTCCTTTCCTCCTTTCCTCCCTCTTTCTCCTTCTCTCTTTCTCTCTTTCTTTCCCTCCCTTCCTTCCTTCCTTCCTTCCTTTCTTTCTTTCTTTCTTTCTTTCTTTCTTTCTTTCTTTCTTTCTTTCTTTCTTTCTTTCTTTCTTTCTTTCTTTCTTTCCTTTC